AAGAGAGGAAGTACCAAGTGGAGTCTTTTCCATAACAAGTGAGGAAGCAAAGGTGCCAGTACTGAATACGGGAACAGAGCTAATGATACTCCACCGAGACGAAGAAGTAGGCACGTGGGGAACCAATAAGTGGTACAATTCCATGGAAGACACGGGTGTCATGATGTTAGACAGTAATGAGGAAGAGCGACAAGGAAGTGATAGACAAATGATGCTGTATGACCAGATAATAGAGAATAGGGAATCCAAGCTGCTTGAACCCGACATAGAGGAAGTGCTAGAGGAATACACAGAATGTTTCGCAGTAGATGAGAAAGAGCTCACGCAAACAGATCTAGTCAAGATGAGTATCAACACAGGGGATTATGAACCAGTGAAGATGAAGGCCAGGCCAGTACCTCTGGGCATCAGGTCGAAACTCAAGCAGATGCTACAAGACTTGGAGAGAAGATCCATCATTGAAAAGAGTTCGTCAGAATGGGCATTCCCCATAGTATTGGCAGAAAAGAAGGACGGGTCATTGAGATTGTGCGTGGACTACAGGGAGCTCAATAAGCGGATCAAGTTGGATTCATACCCACTACCGACTATAGATGCCATACTGCAAAATATGGCAGGAAAGAGATTCTTTTCCACTTTGGACATGTGCAGTGGCTATTGGCAGATACCAATCGCAGAGGACTCAAAAGAAAAGTCGGCATTCACAACACCGGAAGGCCTATACCACTTCCGAGTAGTACCCTTCGGGCTGAGCACAAGCCCAGCAGTATTCCAAAGGCTGATGGATGCCGTACTTGGAGATCTTCTAGGAGTAGATGTCTTTTGCTATATCGACGACATAATGATTTGCACACGCACTAGAGAGGAGCATATCAAGTTGCTCCGCGAGGTCTGCAAGAGGATGAAGAAAGCGGGTCTGAAGTTGAAAGCAAAGAAGTGCTTCCTATTGCAGTCAGCTGTTTCATTTTTGGGCCACAAAATAGACAGTGAAGGGGTACACACGGATCCTGAGAAAGTAGAAGTAATTCGGCAGTATCCAGCACCCAAGAATGAGAAGCAACTACGGAGATTTCTGGGAATGGCATGATTGTGACTTTGGCGGGAAAAGGGCCCGCTTTGACCCTCTCAGCAGGGTATAAATACCGGTGAATAGGGGGAGCAGGCAGAGCGTGAAGAGAGCGCTCCAGGGAGTTTAAACGAGCCGTCGAAGAGAGGCGGACCTCCCCCCTTAGATAGAAGAAAGCTAGAATACCCTGCTGATAGGGCCAAAACGGGTCAGAAGGACCCCTAGTCGTTGTTTAGTGTTGATTGTTCAAGTTGTTCGAGTTGTTCAAGTTGTTCGAGTTGTTGTTCTTTGTTGCCATAAAGATAAATATCTTTATCCTAACCGTGTCCTTATTGATCGATCCGGTTCAAACCGCCAATACCACTAGACAACCCCCGTTACAACTTACATTTTAACATAACTCATGTAGACCATACTTCAAGAGCTTAGGTTCCACTCTTGACCTTCACCAAATGTTTACCTAATCTAGGCAGAAATAACCTTATATGTCCAAGACATTGTGGAAGGCCACGAAAGCCTTTATAAGTCTTGTAGACGAACATCGCATTCTTTCACAATTTTTCTAGAAATTGAAAATCAATAGTGAGAATAATAGAACACAAACTGCCCAACAAACTGCAAATGGTGTTGAAGGTATCTAAACATTCAAAAGATGTTGAGGTGACCTAACGTTCATTTCGCAAAGAAGCATGTTGTGTGGCTGAATGACGTTATAGGAAATTAGCCTGCAAAAAATGCAGCAGTATATAAAAAAACCAATCGCAGAAATGACCTGAAAACTGCTCGTTGATCTAAAATTAACCTGCAAACTAAAAAGAAAAGATCATTGGTCAAAGTGACATTTTAGAATGAATTGCATCCGGTTTTGAAGGGCATTGCATGCTGATTCCAAATCGGTCTTCATTATCTGCTGGCGCCTCTGCGTGAGTATGGCCGTTTCAAGAGCCAAAAAATTGAAGGGGCGACGAGGATAAACTTGGTTGTTACAGAATGTACATTTCGCAGATAGAATTATTTTGAGTTTCTGTATAACAAACAAAAGAATTATTTTGAGCATGGGTATAGCATACAAAGATTATTCTTTGTAAGGAAGACTTCTGCGAATGATTTTCTTAATCTTTCGCCTTCAAATTTTCTTGACAAAAACTCTCATAGCTTGTTGCCCAAAGGCGCAACGCAAATAGGAGACAGAATTGGATCCAGCGTTTGATGCCCTTCAAAACTGTGTGCATATCATCTGGAAAGGCCTCTTCGACCAGCGATCCTTCCCTAGTAGGCCCACCGTCAGGAAGTCGAAAATGATAAGGCAATAACAGAGATGCTTCGTGAGTAACCTACACAGCTCAAGAATAGGAGCTATGAGAAACTGAAGTGACCTGCAAGTAATCAACCCGCTTCCAGCTACGGAAAAGTGAGCTCTGTGTAGTATTCAGCGAACATTCTTATAAATGATTGTTTTCATATAAAAGGTATAGTGTGCATCTTGAATCTGCTTGTAAAGCGCAGTCCAGTTTGAAGAGGTACAGTTGTGACCGTGGAATTTGTCCAAAATTGCGGGATTTTCGAGATTCGCGATGTTTGCGGGATTCGCGACTTCACGGGATTTGCGGGATTCGGGGGATTTGCGGGACTTGCGGGATTTAGCTATAACTTCTTTTAAATCTACTTTATTTGCAATCTGCGTGTAGATTTGGCTTCAGCTTGATGAGACGAATCGTTTGATATACAGTATGTCCGTAATTCGTGGTGAGAGGGTAGACTTACAATGATACCTTGTTGTTCTCTATGTTAAGGCTTTTGTGAACATTTATCACAGCGTAAATCACGAATAGCAGGTTCTGGTACGAAGTTTTCATCATCGAAAACTATCGCGAAAAATTGGGCAGTTTTTATTTACCCTTATCACTGATATAAGCATTTTATCATTTATCACTGATAATATCACATTTTTGGATCATTTTCTACATATGGTAAGGAAAGTACTGTAGGAAAAGCTGTGTGAATTTCTATCGCTCTTTCTCTCATTATAAGCGATCTACAGGCTTTTCTAGTTCTATTGCTCGGTGCAATTGGTAGATCTCTCGCGGCAGCAATCGATCGATTTTTCATCGGCACATGCCATTGCTGCCAATTCTTACCTAGAATGGCATTTTTGCTTCAACTCGCTTCACGCCGAAGCCTGGGCTGAAATTCTGCACCTATATGGAAGATGAACGTGGAAATCGACCGCATGAATTTGAGCCATTCTTATCTGTCGTTGTCATTGATATCATCATTTTATCATTTATCACTGACGACACAAAATTGGATTATTTTTGATATACAATAAGAAATGTACTTTAGAAAACTCTGTGTGAGTTTTTATCGCCCTATCTCCTATAGTACAAAACCACAGAACATGCAAAATTTCCGGGAATTCCGCGAAATTCATGTGAATCACGCAAATTACGCAGGGCCATAACTTCTTTCCAAATGAGTATATTCAAAATCCCAAAACAACGTTGTATTCAGCTCGTCAAGGCGAATCTTTTGATGTACAGGTTGTCTCCAACATCTTGTTTTCAATAATCTTGAACTTGCATGCCGACGCCTCTTCGCATGGGTGTAACGCAACAAGCATCACACATAGGAGACTGCCATGGGCACCGTTCGATTGTACTCTTTCACTAGATTATCGTGCGCTAAACAGCAGCCGAAGACTCTCTTTCAAAAGAGATAGAAGAGCTGATAAACTCTAGACGCCGTCGGCAAAGGTGCCACCACCTCGACGTGGTAGGGGCACGTCGAGATGCCGGCAGCTCCCTCAAAAGAGCACGCTATGTCCGTGCTCTCTGACCTGCCGGCAGCTGCCATCTCGCGGATTTGGACGAGCTGCCGGCAGGTTACCGGCAACTGACATTGCGAAGTTGCCGGCAGCTCCTCCTGCGCTTCCAGATATTTTTCTAAAGAAGAAGTTCTGGAACCGCAGACTTTTATGGGATTTTCTACAGAGTCGAGGTGGCATCTTTATCGAGAAAATTTTTTGGAAAAAGGCCTGGGACGGCCTAAATTTGGAGTCTCACTTTCTGGCCACCTCACGGAAAAGGTGCCAGCGACCTGCCGACGAGACCTGCCGCCAGGTCGGGGGGATTAAACCTGCTAAGATGTGATATAGGCCCGTAGTAGAGACCCCATCAAGGCATCTCTCTCGACGCGGACCGGAATTGATTCATCACGCCTCAGTTTAGCATCCAGTGAGCTATTGATCTGGATGCGGATCGCTTTCCAGTCATGATAATCGTGTGTGTTCTTGAAAAAGGAACCACGTGATCCAATTTGGTCGAGCAGGTAAGCGACTGGAATTGAATGCGCGCGGCCATGATTCAAGGCGGCCAGCGCCGCATTTTTGCTGTACGCCCGGCGTCTTTGATAGCGACCACTATCGCAAAATCGATGATGACCGCTGTCAAGAATTTCGCCTAGCATATGCATGGATAAAACAAAGACACATTTTTTAACGAAAATTTTATGAAAAAATGAAGTGGTTGCGATATGACCTCAATGAATCAAATCAACAAATTCTTGCCTTAAAGGCAGTGTGTCAGCAGATTCTCCGTTTTCGGGAGAACTACACATGAAAGTAGCGGGCTGCCTAACTAAGCAATTCCCCAATTTGCAGCCAAATCCGTGAACTCCCCGCTGAGAAAGCCCCGCTTGATTCCGCTCGCGCGCCGCAATCTCGCTCGCGTCGGACGAGTTGACCCTCCGCCTGTCGTGTGGCGCATTGTTTGGAGAAATCGTAAACACTTTTGAATATTTCTGACGTTCTTGTTTTCTATTTCCAGTTCCCTGCATAGTCCTAGGTTTCTGCTTTCTGTGTACTCAATATTTTCAAAGAAATTGAAATTAAACGAGTAATTTTTTCGGTTTAGAGGAGAACTAGTATCTTTTTTGCAGAGGTTCGACTGAACGTTAACTCTTCAGCTTGTCCATGTCATCACAACTACGCTAATCGAAGATTTCAGTTCTGAAATTGAAACAATGTTTACAGTCCTTAGATCCAGTTTGATTGCAGATAAAGGTACGTAGTAAACAGTTCACCTTCCGTTAGCAGTGAATAAGCACATAGTGTGGTTTTATTGCTTTATCATTTCCAATAACTTTCTTGTTATTTGCGTTGAATGCGCCAACGTCTAGGCTTTATCAAAGTTAAACCAACTACTCATTTGTTGGCCGGCCTCAAAGTTGCCATAAAATCATCGACAAGAAGGCTATGGGGGTAAGTCTCACATGTCCTTTTCTCTTTGAAATTTTTGGCTTCATACACACAGGATGATCTTCCACGAGTTGCGACAGAGCTTCACGCACTTAGGACTTTGTCACATCAGAATTTTTGTCGGCTATACCAGTTTATTGAGACGGAAGATAAATACTATATCATAATGGAGGTATGCTTTTTTCTAGTTATAGTTTTGTAGGCACGATTTTATTTTTGAACCGACTTCTCCATTCGCGATTTCAGTACTGTAGTGGAGGTGAGATGTTCGATTACATTGCAAGGAAGGAGCGACTTGAGAAATCAGAAGCTCGTCACTTTTTTCGTCAACTAGTCCAAGCTACGGCTTAAGTCCACTCTATGGGTTATCTACATAGGGACTTGGCCTTTCTGGTAATGCCGTCAAAAAGCAGTGATGGGATGTTTTCGACTATTTTCATTTTGACGGAAAGAAAAGGTGAGTAGTATCATCCTTCACTTTACTCGGTTTTGATATATACAAAGGCGGAAGAGAGGGGCATTAACTAAAATTGTTAATATTCCTCTCATTAGAAACGTGGCTCCAGGCATACTACACGCGATTTAACCCAAATTGATTACAAATGCGCATCGTTAACTTTCGAGGACTGGTAATATGCCCCCAAATCTTGAGAAAATGTCGCGTTTCCAAGTCGCGTCTCTATTGAAATCACGCGAAGCTTGCCCGGGACCTATTTCACGTGAGATTCTGATGTGGATCTTTAGAGTTTCAAATGAACCATTCACCATATCAAACGGTTAAATTGCAAGTTGCACGGACGAGAACTTCGTGAAAGCGCTCCTAGACCAAATTACTATACCATGAGAAGGCACAATCAACAAAGGATTCTTTGATTGCGTACTTTGCTCACAACCCCTGCCAGAAACAGGGTTCTGTAGATCTTATGTCATTGTTAATAATTGTGTCATTGTAGAATCAATGTCGAACATACCGTGTTTGCCTATGTCGGGGTACTTTCATCTGGTTATGATCAAGTAAATATTTACTTTGTCCAACCGATGTGTTGTTATACTTCACCTAATTTATGATTGATTCACAACTTCAGCAAATGACAAAATGCATTGAGTTTTCCCTAATTTAGAAGCACAACAATTGTAAGAGATAGAGAGATAAAGCAAGAGAATATTCATTAGAATTGTAGCCAAATACAAACAAACGAAACGCTAGAATAAGATCAAATGAGGAAGAGTTCGGTAAAGTACAACAAAAACTCTCAGACACCATTTACACGATGCCGTTTTGGCCGGGACTGGGTAGCGAGTAGCAGCAGCCGTTGGAGCTACAATAGCTTGTGAAAGCCTGGTTTTGATCATGAACCCATCGCACCCATCGCACTTGTGTGGCTTGGTTTTATGAGACTGTAAAGAACGCATTAGATGATTGTTACCATCAGAGAAGTATGATAAAAACTGAAGAAAGCGCCTCTTTTCGTATAATCTTTGTCTTGTCAAACAGACATACGTCTGTCTCAAATGAAAACCAATTGAAGCAAAAACGGGTGCGATTCGTAAGGCAGGTCTCATACGAGTGCACATTTTTGCAGCAAAGAACTCTGTATTCAAAAGTGAAGCAGCATAGATAAAGGCAAAAATTTTGCACACAGCATAGTTGTCCAATGAAATAATAAACTAATCATTTGTTATTTATTAGAATGTAAGTAAAAGTACAATAAAATAGTTGAACATGTCCGCCAAAAGCTAGGTAAGAAGAAAGACAAAGACAACCTTCTGATGTTCAGCTGCAATCCTGAAGATTATGCTTGGTTTTGTAGACTGGTCTACGTATGCGGCAGCGAGATTTGTCTACTTCACGATAGCTGGTTCGACACACACGTACATCCTGAAAAGGAAACAACTTTTTTGGAGAGTAAGTTGATGCAAAAATTGACAAACCTATTGAAACTGAGCTGATTATCATAAGCTCCGAAATTACTGCGCACGCCAAGTAGATGGTGTACTCAGAAATGAACCCTAGAAATGTCCGATCTCACAATCACCAAAGATCGTCTCCTGCTTACTTGCAACAATCATTGAAAGCTCGCACGTGAGCTTAGTACCTTCCTTGACTGATTTTGATAGACGAAGATGGTCTAGGAAAACCACGGGTAAGATCTACATGAGTTGATATTGTACAAGGTACACGGATTCTATCTCATCTCATTCATCACATCAGAAAAGCCAATGAAAATTTTTTTGATAACTGTCGGCAACCTAATGTTTACATGAAGAGTTATGAGACATTTATTAGAATCTAGTGTTTGCACACCACAGCCAATGCATAGACGGTGATTATAACACAATGTCAATTCCAGTCATTAGCTCAAAGATCAGAGACTCACTAGTTTCAAGTATGTGGATAAGTAAACACAAAAAAGCGAGTAAACCGTGAATGGCATGTACTATGCTTTCCACCTAAGATTCGACGTTCTTGTCTCAAAAATCTCGGTGTAAAGAATCAACACAGCCAAAAAAGATTAGTACAAGACATCAATGCAAATATTGCACAGAAACCGTTTTCACATTCACAACTACAAATGGAATAGACGCATACAATTGACACGCCTACAGTAATGTGTTGCTAAAGCATTGCTCCAAAGAAACTAATTACTGTTCACTGGATACCTTCGCTTCTGTTCAGAAAAAGCCTCGTATAAGGTTTTTCTAAAAACCTTGGAGTGACGAAATGAAACGGGTCCAACAGTTCCAACAACTACATGGTGATCGCATGATAGGGTTACCTTCCTGGAAATAATGCAGATTCAACAATTATCTGAACCACTGATGCCTTATTCTCAATATAAAAAAAGCAAGAACAAATAGTTGGAAGGGATGCCGCATTTCACTTTTGGTAAACAAACCAAAGGAAAACCTAGAAGTTGCAGGTAAGTTATGAAAAAATATAACTTACCCATTTTCTTTGTATGGAATTATTTTCCCCTCATCTCCACTGATGGCAAGAATACATGACTATGAGGAATTCATTATAGCTTCACTGAAATCGGCGAAGCTGCCAAACATGCCAAGATCGAGACGACAGAAGTATCACCTTAGAACAATTTTCAAAAGCTGGACATTTCAAAGTTCTTGTTCTCACTTGAAACTGCTGTGGCTGAAGCTTGCTCTCTTGTGTGCAACTGTCTTTTTCATCTCAGCGGAGATAGCCCAGAGTTCCTAGAATTGCAACTATTGAGCCTAGAAAGGCAAGCAAAAATTACTGTTGTAATGCTTACTTTAGCATTTGCATTGATAGCAGCGCTCACATCAAGATTGTTATCATGGGAGATGAAAGGATCCATTCAAGAGCCGTTTCCTTTTGAAATGCGAAGGCGTGCCAGCGCAATACCTAGCAAAACAACGTAAAATAAAAACAAATCACAAAGGAAAAGTAGAATGCGACAACAAAACTTCGTAACTTCAAGCATGTCAAAAGTGTGAACGCATGAAAATGTTCCATAGCACTAACCTTGACAATGGAATCATTGATGGAGATCTTAGCAGATTTACCCGCGAAATCCTTTGTAGGAGAACATTCAGCTTTCCGCAAATTCTAAAAACTATATTTCAGAAAATTGACAAAAGATCGTGATCTGGGACAATGTTAATTGAATTCTAAACTGATTTCTTATTGAAAATTATGACAGCTAAGCAAGAAAAGATAATAAAACCCAAAGAGACAAACAAAGATACACCTAGGAGTAATTTTGTGATTGTCAGACTGACATGGTAAGCACACTACAGGTCACTAACACTAGTAAAAGTGTCTTCCAATAGAAAATATAACCAAAAACTTCATCTGGAGAAAAAAATAGCCTTACTCGAGAATGTTGAGGAGTATAGTACGCTCTTGGAGTACGCCGTTGTCAGACTTATGCGTTAGAAGCCACAACAAAGTGGGACTGAAATGACCTCAACGGTGCTGTTATGTTGACGTTTTCTGCCATTCTTTCTATCTACTTGAAACTACGAAAAACAAAAAAATGGAACTGAGAAAAAAAATCTAAAATATGAAGCAACTAGAAAATCACCTTTAGAATACCACCTGCCGCGGGTCTCCCCTGTGACAACATCTTCTAAGCTGGTGACAGGAAATTTAGCAAATTTAGCAACTGAATCCAGTTGTCTCGAAGCTGTAATCAAAGGTTGGATGAAAGAGAAAAGGAAACGGGAAGATATTTGAAAATTGCTAAGCACTTACGTGGAAATATATGCAACTTACGCAACGAACAATTGTATATGAGTGATTCTTTGCATATTACTTGTCTGATATTTTTGCGATTTCGTTAGTATTTTCGTTTTGATATTTGTATTTTTGATTTTTCAAATTATTTTTTATTATTAGTTTTTCCATTTATTTTGAATTTTTAATTTATATATTTTTGTTTTTCATTTTTTTATTTTATTTTTTAAATTTATTTTTTTGTTTTTAATTATTTTTGTTATTGTTCACATTTTCCTAATTCTAATTATTTTTTTTCAGAATTCCTTCGAACGCCTCTCAACGACGCATGCGACAACTCACCCAGAAGGCGAAATTTTGGGAAGCTAGACGAAGCATCATTCCGATGTTGTTATAAAACTCACCTACTTTCAATAAAAAATTTATTAAATAGTTGATTTGTGAAGGAAAACAGTACATATCCTATTCATTACCTGTGAAAGCCACTACAGTTTTCTCATCAAGAATTTTTCAGACGCAATCTTCGCAAGCATGATCAAATATTACAATTGCTTTATCTGCGGTAATAGAGTGGAGCAGAGTCTGACCACGCGCTCTTTTAAAAATCAAGCGCACAACGCTATTTTCTTAGCGAGTTTGAGGATGTTTTCATCCGTCGCACAGGAATTACTGCAGCTATATTTTGCCAGCTTTAAACAAACACAGAAGTTCCTATGCGTTACTCATTTCATAAATACTGTAAGTTGTATTCAGGTGTACTCAAAAAGCCAAAAATTCACACTTAGGCACAATCTCTGTTGTCGGAAATAACTTTGAATGGAGGACGATTGTGCCGTAGAAGGGATGAAACATACTACCTCGACGCGCAAGAAATACCAGCAGAACTGCTTCACAATCTAAATATTGCAATCAACTTTTTTGCAGTCAGTTTTACTCTTGTAAATGGCTTCTTTTTTCGACGGAAAAACCTCTATCAGGATGATATCGCGGTGAGCAGCGTTGAAGTTAACAACTACCTCAACTTCTACATGAAGAGATTCTTCAGTAGCAAGGGGTACTGGACTGTCCCGCCATCTCACCAAGAGGCGGTGGCCGAACTAGAGGTAGTCAGCGTTTCTAGAAAAGACGCCATGACTGCTGCATTCAGGCAATCATGGAGGAGCCCTCGGAGGAGGCAGTGGAACCGGCAACTCCTGGTCGCGCTCATGAGAATGTAGAAGAGTCCCCGTTCAACACACCGCTGCTTAAAAAAGGAGATTCAACATCCTCTAAGGCCACGGTTTGAGAACGAAACAAAACTATTCCTTATTCGTATAAGCCTTAGCTTCGATTTACTTCATATTCAGACTGGTTCCTTGTATTCACCGGGAAAGGATGAGAGCTCAGATAGTGAAGATGATGAAGAAGATGACCAGCTTCTACTGAAGGAGACGGACCCGCATTTACTAGACGCTTATTTCCTTGTTCAAGGGAAAAAGCTTCTTGAGCTGCTTCAAATCAACATGTCTGGCTCTGAGAATAACGCGAAAAGAATGCGCTTGATGAGAAAGGCTTCCTGTCCCATCATTATTTACGTGACAGAAGGTCCCAGACCGGAAAAGAAGAGATGGGAAGGACAAGATAAGCTGAGCGCTCGCAAAAACGATAAGCAGTTCGTTGGAAACATTCTGACATGTACTGCTGCTGTCACCACCGGTGTCAGGATGAATGTAATGACCATTCCATATTTGTTCTTGCAAAAAAAGCAAAAATTCTTGCAGAAGCTCATACAATGGGCGGGAGAGTTTGGGCTAGCTATTCCTTCCCAGTCGACCTTCAATCGAATTTTTTATGAAATGCGCCCCTCGATAAACACCGTCTATCAGAAACATCAGGATAATACCTTACAGCGCATAAAAGCCGCATACGAGGTGAAGAACCATCGCGCACGGTACTGACCTGAATCCAAAATGCAATTTCAGCGCGAAGGGGAGCCCACACCGTGGGATATTGCGGTAGACGGGGCATACGACTCCAGGGGATTCAGCGCAGAGTTCTGCAAAGTTTTGGCTGTAGATATGAAGACAAAACTCTGCATTCACACTGAAGTAGTGGAGCGCCGTCAAACAGGTTATAACCAGACTGCTTGAGAAAGATAGCTTTATCGGATTTATATTATAGGTGGGAAGAGCGGACTAATGGAAAAATTGGGGTTCCACAATATGTTGCGATGGTTCCGGTCTCAACGTATTCCCATACGTTCAGTGTCAACTGACCGTAACCTTATGTACCAAAAGGAGATAGGGGAGTATAACACAGAATTTGGTGAGAACGTAAGGTGGTACTTGGACCCCTGGCATCTGGCTAGGCGACTCGAGAAGCAGCTCAGGGCGGTATGAACTGAACTCTTAGTGGCATCTTTCCTCTGAATAACTTAGACGAGATGTAGGCATCCATGCGGAGTCAATGCGAGTGTATACGAGACTGGGCGGATGATCTGAAGACCCATCTATACACTGCCATAAAAGAAGGAGCAGAAGCTGGAAGTGGCGACCGCATAAAGCATGTTTTCAACAGCTGTTTGAAACATGTTGCCGATGTTCATGAGTGGACGGAGGTAAACTTATTGTCGAATTTACACAAACTTTAGGTGGTATAACGTGCAGGATAGCAATACGGGACCAGTAAAAAAGTGCTTGCACAAGCCGATAGCTCCGAATGAAGAGAGAGGGAAACGAACAATCTCCACTGGAAGTGTCGCTCACGAAAAACTAAAAGAGATAGTGCTCCAATCAACTTTTCAAAATGATATCATGATCGCGAGCCCCTATGGTGGCACAAGCCAGTGTGAGACGAAAAATTCTGTTGACAGACTTTACTGTCCAAAGGAGCTTTTCTTGTAAGTTTTGCCATAAGAGTGTTTGGAAAACGGCCACAACCAACTACACTTAGGATTTTTTAGACCACGAACGACTTACCCCCTTTATGTAAAGATGGCTACTTTGCATTTGAATGCTCTCCGAGAGGCTGAGTTGAACGGGGAAAGGGTAGTGGAATCCAGGACACGGATCAAGCGGAAGTTCAAAGAGAGAACAAGTGAACTAAAGAAAAAGACGCCCATACAACACCTATGGAGGAAAGAAGTACACTTGTCATACGTTTCGACGAAACTACCGCGACAAACATCATACGGCGAGATGATGGACACGACGTAATAAACTCCAGTCTCCTCCGTTACCAAATACATAGACTAAACAGATTATCGCCTACTCTGACATTGAAGCGTGCGGCGCGCACTCCTCGTGTAGCGCTTTGTAACGAGCCGAACGATGAATGCGCGCGCCACTGCGCGAATGCGCGGGGCCTGCACGGTATGGACAGCGCTACGACCGCTAGCTACCGAAGAATAAGTCCTTCATGAAGCTTCCATTTCTCTTTTCGCCGGCCGTGCGCATCCTCAACTTCATACTCCAAAAAGTTGAAATTCAAATATAGAAAATTCGAAAACTTGAATATGAATTCAAATCAAAGTCAATACCGATTCGGGAAGCTATCGAGGGATAACCTGTGTAGAAACAGACATCAATGTTCCTGCAATTACAAGTACCAAGAACTGACAAGCCAAATCCACAAATGACGGAGCAGCCTAATCACAGCGTTGCACCTCATGCGGTTCCCCATTACGCTGACAGCGTGTGAGAATTGCATGTGTGCAGGCCGGACGACGGGAACATAGTGGGCGTGAGGCGTGCGCTAAGGATCATGGCGCGCGGGCCGCACGCTACGTGACCTCACATCTGACCGCACTGCTGGCCATCAACAAGCGCGCGCCGCACGCACGGAATGTCAAATTAGTACCTTACGCAATGAGCCACTAATGACCAAAAAAGCGCCTTTGGTAACGGAGTGAGAGGGTCTGTCCTTTCTAACTTCGTTACTTACAAAAAAAATTTTCAGGTGAGCTTCTGCCCGTGCTATGTCCACGAGAGAGATCTATCAAGGAAGATTATTATTCTACCTTCTTTTAATTAACAAAAATATTACTTGGAGGCTCGAAGTGTTGTTCCAACACTTCAACCAGCTTCTTCTTCTTTTTGTCCTCTGTTATCATATAAACAATCCAAAACAGAGATACAGTACTCAACTAATCTATTGCAGATATTTGCAAACGCTCACATACCAAAAATTGACGATAAAGATAACCAAATCTTACCTGTTACTCTTTCAGTTGGTCGTCCAGCGGATCAGATGTAAATCACTGCAGGACGCCATAAATAAGCACGAGCTAATCGCTCGACAGCAGGTGACATCGTGGCAGTGAACACAGTCTAAAATTATTTCTTCGTTTCAAATTTTTCCTATACAAAGGGTGCTGACAGCAGCCCTTTGTATAAGAAAAATTGAATGAATGAGAAAAAATTTTTTTCATGGTCAAAGTTCTTTCAAAATGGAGCTTCCACAACGAGTGCCAATTACCACTGACATTACAAATTTCAGAGAAAAAATAACGAGAAAGGTTAACCTGGCGATATTTCTCCTTTGTCGGAAAGTTATTGATCAGAGCTTCTTCATGCTCTATGTCATCGGTGTCAGGCTTTTAATTAGATACAGGCAAATACCCGAGACCTGAAATTTACCAGTACTTTGCGCTTGATAAAGAATAGAGAAATCTAATGACAGCAACTCTACAAACCTTTGCGCTTCGGGTTCAAATCCCATATCAGGCATTCGGTCTGCCTCATCAAGAATTACGTATAAGCACTGGTTTAGCGAAAGACATCTATTTTCCAGCACTTCGACAAGACGTCCAGTTGTAGCAATCACGACATGAAAAGCCAATAATTGAAGTACGTGATAACGCTCAGAACTATAACTGTACCTCGACGCTCATGCGCAATTTCATTCCCTGGTCTTCACGTGAAGCACGTCCGATAACAGAAACAGTTCGAATCTTCAACAATTCTCCAAAGTTGTTCGTTTCTTCTTCACTCTAAAAGCCAAGGATAATGGGAATGGCTCCATTTCATGGTCGAGCATACTAACCTGCTCCCCAACTATCTCATTGGAGCCAAAATGACGGCGTATGGACCTTGATCATAATGTTCTTGCCTATCTAGCTTCGGTAAGCCAGTGATCCACACCAAGTAACCAAGTAGCCAAGTATAGTAGCCAAGTATAGCGACAATATGACCAGATAAATGAAACTCAAAAAAATCTATGTTTGACTATCAAAAAGCTGTCAATTATTTGAAAAGGACGCGAAAAAGTAATGGTTAGCATTCATAAGGTAAGGCGATAAAGATGACATCTCTATCTCTCTATGCGGAAAGATAGCGTGATTCACTGTTAGGTGAAATTACCTCTCACTCACTGAGAAGACTAGCCAGAAAGATAAATAGCTGTCATTTTTGCCTGCGTAATGATGTAAGCCGAAAAAAGCAGAAAACTCGTCACGGAAAATAAACAGCTAGTGGCATGTCATATACTGGAAAAATATTCAGGTGACGACATAGAACACAAAGAGCTTGGTTATAACCATACGAAGAAAAAATGGGTGAAAAAAATGATCATCCGTCTTTTGAAAGCAAATGAAAACACTGTATATTACAAAGAATTAATCAAGAATGACTGATCAGAAGAGAAGTATGCATGAAATAACGAATTGCGAGTGTCTTAATTCATGACGACATTTCAAACGACTACCTCTCCACTCTGCGTCTCTGCCCTGCCGTGGAGGAGCGCAGGGGGTACAGCTCGTCCACGGTGCTTGCTCGGGGCCTCCAGAAAACGGGGTTTTTGGGAAAATCGTGCGATTTCAAAGCCCTAAGGTGTTACATAGGGTCCAATAGGTTTGTAATCTACGAAAATCTCGACAACGAAATTCTGGTGAGACACTGCCTTTAAGAAGCTTTTCGAAAGAAAATCAGCAGACTCTAAAAGAAAAGAAAAAAAAACTGTTTCCTTCCTTTCGACGTCAAAATCAGCTGTTCATCGATTCTCTCCTTTTCGGGCCCCCGTACTGTGCAGTTTTGCGCCGATTTTGTTCACAGTGTTAGGCAAATTGGTGTGTATCATAAGTTACTCAGGAGCAACTTACGGTAGTCTTGTTTGTGTCTCCTCTTTTACGCACTATTTGCATTCGTCTACATCAGTTCACGTTCAGTTCAACTTAACGTGAACTGATGTAGACGAATGCAAATAGTGCGTAAAAGAGGAGACACAAACAAGACCACCGTAAGTTGCTCCTGAGTAACTTATGATACACACCAATTTGCACGAGTTGACTGCAGCAGGTGGGCGGATGGTCAACTATCGGTTCACTCGCCATGCATTAACATGGGAAAATGGGTGGTATCAGTTCACCTGATGTAAGGTGAACTGATGGGCCAAGTTCAGTTCACCTAAACTGATTGAGCTTTACTAGGAGCCTTAATGTCAGAGCTCCAGAGCTGCTCATGCTGTCAGAGCTAGTCTTTTTTCCTATATCGACAGAATATGTAATGATACAGCTAACCACAGAGAAGAACAAGTGCGCGGGACGAACGCGCAAGAAAATAGATCGACTTGACTTGCTGTGTTGTAGTAATAGATTCGCCCCAATGCAATAAGCCAATGATCTGAATGATGCAGTGCTGAACTGGTACCAATAAATGGCGACATCCTTTTGTTGTTTTGTTGTCTCTTGTATGACATCATACTAACATCAGAAAAAAGTGGAACCGTCACCGATCGAGCATCCTTAGGCGTGGAAATACGGCTACTGTTTCAGATGTGTCCATAGAACAACTTGATATATTTTGAAACAGATTCAAAACTGGGCATACTGGATTAGCACATTCAAAATAACGCCGATTTTTCGAATGGCAGAAAACATACGACCTACTGGTGGTGGGTCGTACTGCACTGCCATGTAGCGTGAATATGTTAGGAGAGAGGGAGGTGAGGGCGAGGGAGAGTGGTGATCCAGAAAAGAAAGAAGAAACAATACTGAACTAACCCATTCATGATTACGCTTAATTTTGCGTGGCGTTGCTGCGGGACAACGCAATTGTGCACAACACCTTTCGATTACGAGATGCAAAGTGATTTTCTAAACAATTAAACAAATTCTGAATGACGAAGCCTACAGGTTCCAATAATGCAAATGGAAAAATTAGAAGTGTGCGGAAAAATACTAACGTAAGTCCACAAATAATATGATTTTGAAAGAGGTGTTGGCCAACGATGGACCACATCATCCCTAGCAGCAAAAACTGCTTTGGCCACCGATGGTCCAAATCGTCGTCAGTGGGTCAAATGAAAAAAGATGTTACATTCAAAAAGACAATGCAGCAATTCTTAAGTAAAACTCTCTCTGAGTTTGCAAAAACTCCTCATAAGCTCTTCGATGTCACTAATTTAAAATGAGAAATGTTTTTGTCAAATTTTAAGTTGAAATGAGACGATGATAGTTCTTCCCTTTAGGCCAGGCGATATTAGAGCAGTATCGAGCCACATCTGGGATGTTTTTGAGGCTGTAAGCAGGAAAGGGAAAAGGTTTCTACGACTATCCTCTGCATGCAATAAGATTTGAGCACAGAGATGAAAATTTTTTTTACGAAGCGCATCAAAACATGTACCGAAATATTCCTATGCCAACGCCTCGATCATTCTCCTGTAATTATTATTTCATTTTGATCTATTATAAAGTTCCCCAAAAAACTTCAGTCCGGCGTTCTTAGATCAGCTTCATGTGTATTCAACCTCCGATTCTTCTGTAAATTTTCTGGTATAGCCCCTTCGAATATAAACACAAATATGGGTATCCGGACACTTCGTCACCATTTTCCACAAAAATATGCATAAAAATGGACTTCGCCTACCTTGTACCCGCTTTAATCATAGAAAGAAAGAGCTTACAAAGTTGCATATAAATGACTACATAGCATTTGCCCACTAGCGCGAGATGCGGTGATATGAGGTCACATTCGCACAATAATTTGCAAATCTTACACTTTGGCTGTCAATTACAATACCGCTCACATAATGTGCAAAATTTCAATGAATTCCGCGAAATTCCGGGAATTTTGCGAGACTTCGCGACATTCCCGGAATTTTGCGACATTCACGGAAATTTTGCAAGTTATGAGAGTGGTATTGTAGATATCAATCTCAAAAAACAACTAAGCCGCAATTGAGCGTATGACAGAATGTGCACGACCGCCGACGGTATCACCCGAGCTCTGGAAAACCAGGCGACTGCATGGAGTTAGGAGTGGTATATTTCATAACCTGTCAAAAATACGGTGACCATACATAAAAGAGATCGGCAGATCCTTGTGCACAAGAATCAAAGAACATCTTGACGCCTTTGAAAGTCAAAAATGTCCACACCTTTGTGTGCACGTCGAAGGTTATGTCATGAGAACCAGTACTTTCAAGTCGCTGTTACGATCATGCCGGATGAGTCCGAGTCAATAGCCGGCAAAACGTTGGAGGCCTTTTGGAAAGCGTCTAAACCACCAAAATGAACCGCAAAGATGGAGGCATTGCCATAAACAGCGAAATGTTCTCTTATCAAACACTTGGATTCTAATACGAGATCTTCTGTGACCATATAAAGGGCATTATTGACACGGGCTATCATAGTCGTTCATAGCGCAGCTGCTGCGCAGTACTGGTTCTTCGGTCTCTATATCCCGATCTGGCAAGGCTGAACTCAGGCTTTCAACATTTATTCGCTCCATCACATAGCTAAACTGAATTGCCAAACAGGGCGTAGGAGCGGGCAGTTTTCAAAGTCTCAATCTTTTAGGAAGCCCTGATGAAGGCGGACGGACCGCCGAAACGTTGGCTTATCGTGCAATAAAGTCTTGCTACCAACCTTGGTCAACAGCTCAAAGACTGTATTATAATTTGAATCACAATGCCAAGGTTTATCGACAATTGAACACAAAATATCGATATCCTTTAATTCTTTTGATTCTATCTTGGTTTTGCGCGGTGCCCTGCTTGCGAAATATAATCAAGGATACGGATGCTCGATCTTGTTCCTATTTGCAAACCGTTTTTAATATCATCAAAATAGTCTCCGAACCCAACGTCTACAGCAGAGAGAATCTGTAAGCATTTAATTAATGTACAGTTAGTAAGTCTAAGAAGGAAAATCGCAAACTAAGTCATGTCTTGCTTGATCAACGTACCACTAGAATGGTAAGTAACAAGAAAGTAGGGTTGAAAATTATCATTCTTGTCGAACTGACGTAAAGTCTCTGGAAATAAAATATTATGAAAAAGTGCGAGGTACATAGAGCGTTTGCTAAAACGACGAACAAACGAAAATACTTTGACATAACTTGACAGAAAAAGAAATGGGGTAGGAGACTATATGTCGCTGGAAATGGGAGGTCCCGCCGGACATTTGTGACAAATACACCTTTCAATACATGCACAGGCTCAGTATCTCCTGCATCGTTCGCGCCCTCACACTTTTGGCGACATATAATCCTCTACCCAAACAAGTGATCTTCTGAGTGCAAGGGAAATTAAATTAAATTGTCAAAAATAAAACCTCATAAAATTGTGCATAATATGCACAACTCTGTCGTCAACTTTTTCGCTTGTTCAACTGTCTATTCATCAGCATTTTTTCTCTGAAACAAAAAATATCGGTAATTGCCTTTTCAGAGAAGAATCGAACAAAGCTTGCTTTGATCATGTTCTACCCGAAGGCTCTCAGTTGCTAATATTTTTCCTTCTCTGCAAAACTATAGCCTACTAATTAAGTTGTTTTAAGCCACAGCTAAGCTTAGCAATTTCTGGTCAATTTTGCCTGGCCACGCTTATGCACAGAAGGATTTGAAAAAGAGGATGATCAGATAGTAATTAAGGTTGGGGAGTTTCTAATAATGTCTTATGTCAATAATCTTTTCAATCAAAATTCCTCCATCAAAAAAGTTGCTTGGAAGCAGTACACAAAAGTTTGCCTTGATCCAAGCCTAGCTTCCTTATCTGCGATACCGGATTATGGAAAGAATTATATGCCTTTAAAGGTTCAAATTTTGCAAGCATTTAGCGCCACATCCTCAAGAACTAGTTGTTCAAAAACACCTCCTATGTTCCCGGTGAACGTGAGCATCCCTTGAAATCAGTACATTAAATATCTTGTTAGTCATGCACTCGTAAGTTGGATCTCATAGCAAGCATATATTGCATTAGAGCTCCAGTGATTTCATAGATTTGGATGATTTATTTATCAATCTCCAACTCGCAGTTCGGGCCCATTATTAACGAGTGCCCGAACAGGCGAGAGCGCCAATCCCGTGATTAACCAAACTTCAGAGTCTGGTCCGATCTACACCGGGATGCAACGATACTAAGGGCGGTATTTATCAATCCCCTAATTAGGAACGGAATTTCTGTACAGATAACAGCCTGTACAAACGCGAGCACTGACGCCCGCGATACAAGAAGCCAAGATGGTGATCGGGCTTTTGCCTATTGGCGAATATTATCTGATCTGGCAAGTTTGGCCATGTCGGGCACGGCTGTCGGGCAGCAGAGCCCGATCTCGACAGGTGCCTGATGTCGTGCCCGACAAGGCCAAACTTGCCAGATCAGACCATATTCGCCAATACGCAGGAGCCCGATTACCAGCTTGGCTTCGTGTATCGCGGGCGTCAGTGCTCGCGTTTGTACGGGCTGTTACCTGCACAGGAATTCCGTTCCTAATTAGGGTATTGATAAATACCGCTTCGTTGCATCCCCGGTGTACGTTGAGCGGAGCGTTTGCAGACATCCGAACGCGTTGGTAACTCATCAAATCTCTACTGCAAAGCGTAGTTCTTTCTACTCTCTAAACTGCCACGGATATATCTGTTGTCATTGGCAGAGTGTAGCGAGAGATTACAAAGAACAACTTGTAGTAGAGGGTGAATAAGTTCCCCAACGGGTTCAGATGTCTGCCAATGCTTCGCCCAACGTACACCGGGGAGGGGACGACAGCAAGATTGATTGAAGTGTGGTGTGAAAGTGCAAAAGTGAATTGAAAAAAACTCTTCAACTGATTCAATATTTATGAGCACATGACATCTTTTAACTAATTGACTCCCTTTATATTGCAGTAGCCGAATATTTTCTAGATGCGGATACCTTTGGTAAAATCTATGTCACTGAATTTGTTCCACATGATACCTACGTCTGCCGTTTCTTCAATTCACGGAAAGTACTGTGAGTTGCAGAAACCATTAGAAGTGAGATGTACATGCCAGGCGTAGTATGATATTCCAATCACAGTCCGATATTCTTTCAAAAACGCTTCCGTGAAAATGGTTCGCTCAAAAATGTGTCAGCGCCATTTTGAGAAATTTATAGCTTCTTACATTCCGAAGCATTTGCTTTACTGGAATTTTGAACCCGTCTGAAAAAGTTAATTATGCGCTTCACAAAAGCATTTGAGGTACTTTTTAGCTCGCAAATACAGCAGTGATAGAAGTTAATGCATAAAATTTAAAACTGCTAGAAATGTGAACCAGAGCTGGGACGAAAGTGGCAACTACTCTATGAAGCGAAAAGCGAAATACGCCTTTGCCGCTTTGATTTCACTATTTTCCTCTTAATCACACCAACTGCGCAGCTATTTGATCATGGTTTTTGTTAAAAGCCGGGACCCTTTTGTTCTTTCGGAATCTAGCAAAGAAGAGAGGGGAAGTTGAAGAGAAAGTTGTTCCAATGAACACTCAAGTGTCAGAATTCTTGCATTACATGCAAGAACTTTTGTACTACAATCTGCAAGCTCTCAAAGCGTTTACCTCGACTCTGCATGAAGCGAAGCTGCCTTGCCCAATAGAGGATCGTGAGATTCACACGTGAGTGCCTCTGTGCTGGCCAAGAAGCAAAGCAGGATTGTGAAAAGAGAGAAATTCATTGTTAACTCTAAAAGCTATATAGAAATGCACCTTTTGAATAAAGGCTGTACTAAGATACCAGAAAACGAAAGGTCAACAATTTTGTTTTACCTATCACATAATGTCTTTTCTCAGCATTGTGTAGGCGGCAAAATAGGTTATGTTATGTTGACCGTAATGGCTTCTGCTGAGGGCCTACACCCGTGGCCTCGATAGGAATATTTGTGGAAGGCAAGCCTTACAACATTTGAAGCGAGAAATCGAGAGCGTATGACCAACAAGACACGATTTCTTTTTATACGCTTATAAATAAAGCCCTGCATCAGTCATGCGAGTACTTCTTTCAATCGCTTATCTGTAATCAGCTTTTGAAGATTAAGGTAAAGAAAATCTCCTGACAGTTACTGTAACAAAAAATTGTATTAATCCTTGAACCAGCCCGCAATTCGTGACTAAGGTGTGTCCGTTGCTTGTGACCAAGTGTCTCGAATGACAATCTTATGATGCTTTCGAAGCTTTCAGATGATTTTGCCAGTCGGATGGAGAAGTCTTTGTTTAATCATACAACAATCATCAAATTACCCCAACGCATGGCCATTAATTGAATTTTGCAGTGCTCAAAATCAAATGGTTTTTTTATGAAATTGTGCTCAAGATTACTTTTTTACCGAAAAGTTGAAATCAAAAAATTGCTTGTTTTCCAAATGGAGTATCGCAGATGCAAATACTTAATTCGCTCTAGGCTTGATGAATGAACATCCAAAATTCATTCCTGTCCAAATTTGCGACATTTCGATAAGACGCTGTGAACTTATGTTTAAACATGTAAATATAAGACAACGCCATAATTATATCGCATGATGCTTGTTTTGAACTCACACCAGAGACAGTAAAAAATTTGGCTTTTTGCTCTACAAAAACGAGTACTAACTTCTTTTAGCACTCATAATTTTCATTTCTTTAGGGCCATTAAATCATAAATCATGCGTTTCCGTATGCTTCATGATTCGATACTCCATTCTGCTCATCTTTATCTAAATAGAATATTCGGTTATGGCGAACGTTTCGAAACGTTTTTTTTCTCAGCCAGATTTTAAGCCAATTATGATTTCTGAAGTAAATCCTTGATTTGATGACAGTACTTTTATCCAGACGAACTAAGTGGTGTTTTTCAGTGATGCAAAAAAAGAACAATTATTAGATCATCTGTTTAGTGTCATTGAGAACCATTTACAGCAAGCTTCTTAGCGATTGCTAATAGATTGCATCGAAAATTTGCTTCGACGACGTCAGTAATCACATTGATTGGTTGTGCTCTAATAATCAGCTCTACGATCAAATTTCAAATGAAACAGTAAGCGCTGATTACTGCAAACTCACCCAAATGCATAGATGCAAGTTCTTAAAAATTGTGGATAGGCGTATGTACGTGCATTTTTTGCGGTAACTCCGCGATATCAAGTCAGTACTTTATGCCTTTTTTCTAATTTTCAAAGGACGCAAAAGCTTGTCCTTGCAATGCTCGTCTTTTTCTATTCTTAATATCGTCGTTTTCCCGAGATAGATGGGGCGCGTCGCTGCACAAGTTCGCAAGTGTACGTAGTTGATACGGTATTAGCCGCGGCGCATAATTGATAGCGCAGAACAGCTGATGATTTTCCGGCGCTGCAGCGATCGGTGGGTTTTTAATGCTGAATCATGCTTTTTTTTTTCAGATTTCGATGAATGTTGCTAAAGGTGAGTCGTGAGTGTTCATTTACACTTATTTACATTATTTTCTCAGTTTTGGCGCATTGTTGGTGCCTATATTGCACTCTGCGTGCATATTGCATAATGCGTGCTTTCACTTCTTTTTTTACTTGTTTGTTGTGTTCAGTAAATTTCCTTTTGTTAATTCATCGTTTATCACTTCATTATGCTTACCTATGTTTCCTGTTCATGTTGTTTTGTTCAGGTTCCAGGTTTATGATCGGAAGTGAGCCTCACCTTCGATCACAAACCTGGAACCTGAACAAAACAACATGAACAGGGAAGAGAGGTAAGCATAATGCTATCAAATTCAACGAAGTAGTAAGAGAAAATCTGCTAAAAACGACATATGAGTAAAAAAAAAAAGAAGTGAAAGCACGCATGATGCACGCAGAGTGCAACATCCGCACCAATAATGCGCCAAAACTAATTACACAATGAAACAAGCGTGAATGAATGATAAAGACTCACCTTTAGCAACCTGAAAAAAAGCATGATTAAGCAAAGAAAATCGCTGCAGCGTCGGAAAATCATCAGCTGTTCGGCGTTATCGATTATGCGCCGCGGCTAATACCGTATCAACTACGTACACTTGCGGACTTGTGCAGCGACACACCCC